CAGATGTTTTATCATTTATGTATTTCTTGATAATATAATAAACACTATCTAAAAATTTCTTACTGTTTTTTATACTGTTAAAATTTGTGTTTGTTTCAGAGCCCTGCGTGATATTTGCTAGACTCTAAATGGCAGTTACATCCTATATAATAATGTAAATCAAATGTGATAATATATATAATCAATTTTAATATTAGCAAAATCTAAAATAGTGCAATCGTTTTTTGTATTCAACACTAAGAGTTAGATGTCCTTATATCTGAATTTAAGATAAATGACAATATTCTATTTTAAAATAAATATTCGGTATAATATAAGAAGACTGTTGATAGCTGACATTGATGAAATCATAAATATGTATTTAAGAAGTAATCCAATAGCAATATGTGGAATTGAATGTGCATGATTGTGAGTGTATGTAAACACATTAAGCAAATAATAATTTTATAAATGAGTTTACGTTATTTTAAGCGGTTGTAGTCTGTTGTAAATTAGTAACTTGTAAATAAAATATGTAAATTAAATATTTTACTAGTCATAAGAATACCTTTTACGAAAGGTAGAAGAGTGTACAGTATAATATAATAAATGAAATGGCTATTTCTATCTTTTTGTTTTATTGATTTCCTTTGGAATTTTCTTGTTGATTTGTTGAAAAAAATGAAAATCAGACTAAATGATTTCTTGTGTACTATTCAATGTCGATATCAATTATTTCCTATTCTTATTATGTGCTATTCAATGTCGATTCTGTCACGTCGTACCCTCAAAAGTAGCAACGTATTATTTAATGCGAGAACATCCATCATAGCATCGCCCATGCATATCCACTTAAAGCACGTTTTTTTGTAACCACCACCTTACCTTTCTGCAGAGAGTAATAGCACAGTTTTAAGACCTTAGAGTTATGAAACGCCTTTGATGCCAGCGATGCCGCAGCCCGCGTAGGTATTTACGCGGCATCATGTATGCTAGGGGATGTCACGAAAATGGAAATAAAATTATTTTGGATATTATAATACTTACTATCAATTATGAGCATTATGAGCATGCTTATTTTTTTTATCACCACAGGAAAAAACATTTACAAGTGTTGCAACAACTTTACAAGTGTTGAACACTTGCAAAGAACATTGGACCTCATACCGCACCAAGACATTGACAAAAAAATCGTCGATGTGTAATTATTGTAAGAGGTGGCGACACTGGTTATTAATAACTAGCTGTGCCCGCGACTTGTTCGCGTGGAATCAGTACTTTTGTTATTCTAAGTGGTGATGATTTATTTGTAAATTAAACTGTCGTGAAGACTTAGAAAGACACTAATCTGAATAAAAATATTCAGTTAGTCGGTCAATCAGACAAACAAAAGAACGAACAAATAAACGGACCCACAAACGAACCAAGAAACGAATAGGGCAAACTGCACGTTTGTGTTTTATTTTGTAAATAAACAACAGAATGACCGCAAAACGTAATCCCTAATTTGCTCCCGAATTTCTCCAGCCGATACTTGGTTTCCATACAACAAATAAGATATTGCCCTAAATAAGTAAGCACCATCACTAATTATTGATATTGAATAAAAAAAAATTGAAATGAAAAGTACAATCCAGTGCCTACCTAGAACTAAGTACCTACACTACAAAATAAATGAAATTGCGGAAGTATCTATACTTTGCCTCATCTGTAAACAAATGAAAAATAAAACTAAACTCAACCTAGGGCCTTTGACCTTTAAGTAATAGGTGTCATCGTGCTTAAAATCAGTTGGGTTTTTCTATCTTCTCAAGAAGTTCTCAGTAGGAGCTCTGAGTCAAGAGTTTAGCAGTGTTTCATCCCTATGGCTCAGAAAGCACGTAAAGCCGTTTTATCTGTATCTGATCTCACTATATTTTTGTCGGATTACTAACTCCGACACAATGGTAGACAATTTTTAGGGGCAGATTTTTGTTAAGTTCTATAATAAGTATTATTCATAATTATCATAATTTCGTTTTACGGAGTTCCCCACCACCATGCAATTAAAATTCATAGATCCTAAAGGTGAGATATTAGGAAAATAAAAAAAATAAAAACTAAATTCATTATTTTAATCCTAAACTATTCGTACTAATTTTATAGTTACAATAATTATAATTTCACGCATCTACATCCAGCGGTTTGTGCTGTAGATTTAATACAATATTTTCATACATAATTGGAACCCTTGTTTTAAAACCCTAAGAAGCAAATTTTATTATTAAATTACTTTAAAGCATTAATACTATTTCTCCCTTCAAATTGAACATTATCTACCCCTTGCTCTCTACCCCGGTAAGAGGTTGTTTTAATAAATACCAAAATATTTTATTTCCATACAAAATTGCAAACTCTGCCCCCGCCCCTCTGCCGTAACAGGTTATTTTGAAATCGCAAAATACGTATTTATTTATGTTTTAAATAGAGTAGTCTTAGTAAGTATCGAGTCAATCACCCCGTAAAATATTTTTAATAAAATAATAAATTGTAATTCCCTTATTTCACCCTCTTAGGGATCGCATTTTGCAAAATGATTTCATAGCAGATTTCTACGTCATAAAAGTTTCTACTTCAAAAAAGATTTCTACTTCAAGCTGTTTAGGTTGAGCTTGTACACTGGTATCTATTACTCAGTATATAAAGAGTATATTATTGTAGACACAGTGAACAGTGACGTTTTTCAGTAAATGACAAAACTAACTTTACGGCAAATAAAATTTTATTCTCTTGAGGCAATCAATGGGGAGGCCTATGTTCAGCAGAGGACTTTAAATGCTGTAACGTTTATTTGATAAAAGGAAGAAACTTAGATTTGATGGTCCAATACAAACATTGCGTTGAAAGCTGCAAGCAAACTAATTACTTACATAGGGTGCGTTTTGCAGAAAAAAGCGCTAGCAAGCGCTTATAAGCGCTGAAATAGTTTTCGGCCAGGACACGATTGCTACTTCAGTAGCGCTGACACAATCCGCCATTTTGCTTATTTAATTTGTTTGTTTTGAAGTAGAGTTTATAAGTTGTTTTGTGCAATATTAGTTTTAAGTAATATAATGACATGAATAAACATAAGTATACATGTTATTAAAAATTCATGATTGGTAAGTTTTTAATATCAATACTTTACGAACATATATTTAAATTAGGTTAGGTTCCCCGGTTAAAACTAACATCGTATCCTGGAGGAAAATAGCTACTTACGATTTGACAGCGCTTACCGCTTCCGATCGCCATTTTGCTTACAAGCGCTTGCTAGCGCTTTTTTCTGCCAAACGCACCCATAGTATTGTGTATATAGTACCTGGATGACCGAGCTTTGCTCGTTTTTTTTTTGAAATCGTGTGTTTTGGAAATTATATTTAGATACAAATTACATACTGATGAAATATGAATAATATTTTGATCTTACCGACATAATAGAAAAAACTGAACTGGTTATTTGAATAAAAAATCATGAGTACAATTAGTTTAATTTAAATTTTCGTGTTTTTAAAAAAATATCAAATAAGGGCTCGAAATAATAGATTTTCTCAAAAAAGAAGGAAACGAAAAAAAAAAGGAAAAACGTCTCTCAATTAATTTTGTTAAAAAAATATAAAATGTACAGACATCTGAAATTAACATTCTTATTATACTTGTAGATTAGATTTTATAAGATTATTTCAACTTTAATTAACATTAATAGTTTTAAAATAAGAAAGTTTTTTTATCATTTTTTTTTTTAATTAAAGACCTTAAAATAACCTATCAATCCTCCATTTGGGTACTATATCAAAAATTGTAGATTTTTAGTTATTTGATGAAATATAAAATATTCCTAGATTCAGTTGATGTGTTTATATTCCTGGCTTCTTCAATCTTTATTGGTAGCGGATGACTGTTGCGGGATAATAAACACAAATCCTAACGTTTCCAATAACATCATTTGTGCTACTAATGCTTAAATATGGTTTTACGTGGTAGAGCCATGCTGCAAATATATTAGTAGTATAGTTGTAGCACGAATGGGTCGGCTCGACCGGGGAAGGACCACGCTCTCACAGAATACCAGCGTGAAATAGTAGCTTAATGCTGCTGTATTTCGTATGGTGAGTGTAGAGAACCGGAGACCCTTTTTTACTGGAAATGAGGCATTCCATATCAGTCCTCACGGGTGACAACGCATCTGCATTTTGATTTGTAATGGAAGATAGATGTCGATGTCTATGGGCCGCAGTAACCACTTACCATCAGGTGGACTGTGTGCTCGTTTGTCACCCTATCCTATAAAAAAAAAACTCAGTTTTAATTTCCCAGTTATAGTGCCTTATCGCAGGAATGTCTAGTGATATGTCTATCCTTTTTTTGAACTTTAAGTACGTTCTCTCTTTCAAGTAAACTATATATATTTACCTAGATTTTAGAATTTAATATTTCAATACTTAATATGTTGGAATTCAGTCAATCTTAGTGATAACAATTATTTTATAGTTATTTAACAATACATTTTTATAAACATCAATTTATTACATATAATCTTATTAGAGAACAGATCTCATAGCCCTAACATTTTGTTAATATAAGTCGATGTTGTTGATATAAACCTGGACAAGTGCGAATAGGACTAGCGCCCGGAGGTTAAAATAACTATAAAAAGCTGTAGGTCCGTTTTTCTTATAAAATCTGAAGTCTTATTGTTAAGTACTAGGCAAACCACTTAATATTTTTCATTTTAACTTTGCTATACTGTGTAAAAAAATTTACTTAAGGAAAATTGTTTATTACCGTCATATAAACGATAACGCCCCTTAAGCTTTTGCTGAAATATTTAACAACATTTCGGCGGTGGACAGTAAGAAAACACCGTAAAACGTTGCAAGTACTAAATTTAACTCTTGGTCCGCTTTGCTAAAAATAACCAGTTGTCTTCTGTTTAGCGCGCACGTGTGTTACATGCAATTCTGTTGTTATTTTTTTTAAGTGTGCATTAATAGTTCGAAAAAATGAGTGAAAAATACGAGGTTCAGGTTTCTGAAAAACTCGGCAGGTTTGTGTTGCTTTTTCTTTAAATTATGTTATGGTGTCTTATCTTCAGATGGCTTAAATATTTCAGTTATATGTTTTTCATGGAAGCTATTGTTAGGGAAACAAATGTTTTTATGTATTTTCATACAATTTTTTGTGTTTTGAAGAATCTCTTTGGGGTATTTTTTATCTGGCGTTTTCTATTATCGCAATAAATAATTTTAAAATCGACTTAACATTTTTATATCTATATCATTTACTTCTAATTGAAATCATTACTACTTTAATCTATTTACTTGATGTGCTACTTTTTATTTTTAATGTTTTTAAAGACATTCTTATGAAGATATTCAGTGAATTAATTGCATGTCGTGAATTTTTAGTATTTTATTTTTGTATAATTACAGACTTAGGCATTGCGCTATCTCGTTTCTCAAGCAAGGAATCTACTACTCACTAACGAGAGTTCTCTATAATGATAACATCCTGTGGCCTTTTTTGAACTTGGGTGCATTTGTCTGTTGTCTGTGAAAACATACAATTTCATAGATTGCAGTATACACTTTACTATCAGGAGGAAAAAATGTTACCGTTAAAACAAGGGCGGAGCAAAGCTTCTAGTATAGTTGTATACTATTATAAAGTTCCATATTTCTCTCATGTTCAATAAAAATGTGCTTATGATGGAAGCAGAAATATAAACGCTGTTTTTTTCTGTTTGTATACGTCACTGTTTTATACGGACCCTATTCCTATTGATGACTATTGTTAGGATAAGAAGCTGATAATGTCGGGTGAGACTTTCTCTTGGATCGTCCCTCACATTTGCGTGTTGTTCCAATAATGATGTGTGTTCGTAGAGCCTCTCAATCTTACCCAAAATCTCAGGTGTCCCTGAAATGACGCTGTCACAATCGGTCTTCAACTTCAGCAGTTGGCTCTTTGACAAAGACTTAGTAGCTTTGGTTTTGCTCAATTGAAAAATGTAGACTGTCGCCTACGAACAATTGCAGCACCAAGGGAATTAGGAAGTAAGAATTAAACAGTGGTGGACCGACACCAGATGCTGTCGATGGTATCGTGAATTTATTCGCGTTGTTCGTTGGTGGGATTTGGCGGCTGGAATTAATCCGAACAATTCCTCTGAGCACTCCCCATGGTAAAGGGATAGCAAATGAAAAGCGATGTAGGTAACATCTTTTCGCAGCGCCAAATGAATGAATCGAACCGATCAGTAAGAACTCGGTCGTCGACGATTCGAATCGCTCTTCGCTGGATACAGTCAAGTGAAAGGAGCTGACACTGGGGTGCCTAGCGAGGCCAAATCTGCGAATGAAAATTTTTGGTCGCAACTGGACCGGGTCGTCTTTGTCTGGGCTGCTGCTGGAAGAAAGAGTTCATCATAAACAGTCCCTCATAAAATAGAGCAGCTGTTGACCCTTTGGGTTCCGTTTCCCTATTCAAAAATTTCCCTACCTTCAGCTCATCGTCCTGTCTTGTGCCTATTTTCCGATGAAGTTTCCTTTTAAGGCCGTATAGTAGGTTTTGGGAAGTATAGTTCTAGAAATATCCTCATACATCTCCTCCACCTCTTACATCTTCTTATCGGGATGTGCTGAATATAAGGTATGCAATGATTGTCGACACATTCCCAATCTTCATAGCACTGTTGACACGAGACTTGTGGACAATAAATCCAACACCTTCTTGGGACAGATGGTCGCCAGCCCGGTGACAGAACAATTTGCCAGATTCGGAACTGTTCTTTTTAGTGAAATCGGCTACAACTAAGCTAAAAGAAAGATCCCACTCCTTTTAAAAGACCGCGCCTGATAATGCCTGAAGCTCCACTGCAACACCAGTTGTTCATGCGCGGTGGTTATCAATTCACCATCAGGTAAGCCATATGCCGTTTGCCTTTTGTAAAAAAATCGAGGATAACCATGTCCTCTCCCTCTCTTCGGACGTCAGATAACCCAATAATATCACAGTTCGATTTCGCAATTTCTTCCAGTTCCAGGATTTACTGGTCAGTCCTCAGGGTGAGGGTGTTAAATGTTGCTAGTTCGAGTCGTCTGTGATGGTAACTGTACCTACACCGGATTTTAGCACTCCCTTCTTACTTACTTGTACCATTATCGCCACGGTAGCCAGATTTAGCAGGGTTGTTGTTAATGTTTTCAATCTATTGGATAAATCTGTTTTGACTGACTATTTTTTCAATTTTTTTTTTATTTATTTAAGTGCAGATAAACGAGCATGCGGCTCACCTGATGGAAAGTGTCAACTAACGCCCATAAATAACTTCAACATTGCGTTGCCGACCTTTTAAATAGGAGTAAGCTCGTTTCTTGAAGATTATTGCATCCCATTGTAATTAGTCGCCGTAATTGAATTCGCCTAGGAGAATAATAATATTTATTTATTTTATTAACCTTCATATACACATTGCGTTCGGCAAAAACAGAGTTCGCGGCCACCCTTTTTTTGTTTTTTTTAAGTTTGTAAAAACATATACATGTTATTAAAAATTATGATTGGTAAGTTTTAATATAAATACAAACAAAAAGGTCCCCCCAAAATAAAAGCCGGAATAAAAATTTTTGTACCAGCGCTCCCCCCCATCCCCTTTTAAAACCCCTTCCCTTTCAACATTAATGTATGTAGATAGACTTAATGCCCGCATTATCTACCAGTGTACCTTAGAGTAGTGTAAACGAGGTAGGTACCTACGCACACCCTCAGACACCCCAATTAGTATATTATGTTATAATCATAAAACATACACTGAATTTTTAGTTAAACATTTTTATGCACTGATTATTTATCAAATTAGTTATACTAATTCCGGAAGAATGTTGTGGTCACAGTACAAATCCACGAACGCAAAGACTTTAACTTGCTTGAAATAAAATTCATCTTTCTTTCTTTTTATGGAATAACAGAATTAGTAATAACACAAATAAAACTGCACTCTTAAAAGTGTTATTGCCTTAAGTAACGGTCCATTTCAGTTTGTTTTGACTACAGATTTAGTGTAATTTACGTAGTTTTAATTAGTTTTGGGATAAACTATTACCTATATTAAAAATGAGAGGAATCGATTCAATAAACGATTCTGAACAAACTACTTTCTCAAAGTGCGTTAATGTTACATGTTGTATATATAAATTACGTGTCACGTTGTTTGTCCGCGTTAGACTCCCAAACTACTTAATCGATTTTAATCTAATTTGCACTACGTGTGCACTGTGGTCCACTTGAGAGATAGGATAGTTTTATTAGAGCGACCCACAATTTTTTTTGAGAATTCAGGGATTTTAATAGGACATGACAAAGGGTCGTCGAAAAGGACAGAACAACGTCTGCTTGGCAAGCTAGTATATATATATATATATATATATATATATATATATATATATGTATAAACTCATACATATACCTATAGGTATATGTAAGCGTATTTACATTTACACGCAATTTGGACTTGAACAAAATTCGGTTTTCGGCCCTCCTTATTTCGGATGGAATTGCGTTCCAAAGAAGAACAGATTCAACAAAAAACGATGATTGGACAAAGTTAGTACTAAAAGGAGGGCATAGAAGCAAAAGGTTATTACTAGAACGAAGAAACTGGTTTCTCTATCATGGTTGGAACTAAGATAATGAAAATGAGGAGTTAAATAAGATGGAGGATGAGGAGACATCAAGATAGAGTAAAGAGTAGTGAGTGCATGTAGACTGTGGCGTTGACGAATAGGTAGCCAGTTAAGTTGAGAGTGATAAGTAGACACATGATCATACTTTCAAGGATTTAAAATAAATCGAATGCAGTTATTTATTGAGAAGGCGGTTAATTTTTTCAAGAGTTCTGTATTCAGGTCAAAATAACACACATCACCATAGTCAAAAATGGGGAAAATTAAGGTCTGCACAATAATTGTCTTAGTCCTAGACGTGAGAAAGTTCTTCAGGCGGTAGAGAGAACGCAAAATATATGTGACTTTCTGACAAACATTTGCCACTTGAGTTTGCCAGCTCAAGCTGGAGTTAATGTGTAAGCCAAGGTCTTTCACGGTATTACTCAGTTCTAAAATAAAACCTGTTAAAAATGATCGGTGGTAAAGCTGTGGGATTCAGTTTCTTTATCATCCGTTGGCTACCTATTATTATAGCCTGACACATGGATGGGTTAACTTTATCGCCATAGTATTATCATCATAGTACATGATCATCGAATATGACACCTTTTGTAAGAGAGTTATGAAATAATTTATGAATTACGATTTCAAGGTACCTAGTCGCTGCTACAGATATAAAAGCTGGCGAGACTATTCTCAGCGACAAACCGTTTGTATTAGGCCCCAACAGTGATACATCGCTGGTATGCTTTAACTGTTACCTACCGTTAATCAGCAAATTCTTCGTGTGCAAATACTGTGCCGTCGCGCCCATATGCCCGGGAGACGGGTGTCCTGAACAACTTTCTAGTAAGTATTATCATTTATTTAAAAAGGTTATAAGTACAATCATTTACCTTTTTATTGCCATTATTGTAAAATTAATCAAAATACATAAAAATAAATTCTTATTTTTTATCAGTCCGTTAATAGTCCAATGCTGCTCCTGAATTTATCTTATAGTAAAAATTTGCTGTCAACGCTAACTTAGGAACGCAGGATAGAAATTGGCAGTCACTGTGACTTTCTAATTCCTGATGTTGTTCTCTATTAGTTTTTTTAGTAGCATTAGTTATACCATCACATATCTAGTAAAATGAGGTCTGGCATTTAATTTTATCGATGAGTTGATGAATGCATAGTATATAAAATTTAAGCTGTATTAAAAACCAGATCATTTAAATTTTTGCCAGAAAATAGTCAGGTTAAGTTTTTGCTATCAACTGACGTCTATTGTTAGGTTAGTATAAGTTAGGTCGACTTATTTTTTTATAGATATATTTTACATTGGGAAATGTTGGTATTGCACCTAGACTTCTTCAACAGTCCGCAAGAGTTCACAAATGGGAATAGCCACGCTTGTACCAAACGATTTGTATCTTTTACGCTGCTCCTCGTCGCAGATCTGAGAGTTTTATAATATTTTGCATTACATTGAATGGTTACACCGCCATCTATCGGCGGTTATATTGATTCGTTACCGCTGCCACCGTAGGATTAGTACAAATCTAGCAACATCTAGCGTGATCCACAGAATTTTAACTGATAATCCACCACATAATAACAATATTTTCAGAATGGCACAGTCAATCGGAATGCGACTTCTTTAGAACTCTCAAACTTACAAAAGGCCTCAACCCAATGACCATGGTACAGAATGTGGGTTCTCTGCTTGTACTTCGAGTGGTTTTGAAGAAAGACTTTGACAAGGCAGCCTTTGAAGAGTTTATGCAACTCGAAACGCATTTGGATATGAGAAGGAATACCTGTGTTTGGAAGTTTTGTGAAAATACTGCAAAGGTATTGTATTCTTTTTTTAAGGAATGCAATATAGATAGAATAAATAAATATTTTTTATATTTTAAAATAAAATTATTTTAAAGACTGTGGGTGACGCAGCATTATGTAAAGTTTTATGTTTGTATATTCAATTATAATTTTTATTAATTGATTTAGTATCTATGTCTACAACAAACTGTATTTGATTTGTTTATGACAATGTATGTATGCGTAATGGACCCGCGACCGGTACCGGTATAAAATTCAAAAAAGTGCTCTTCAAACTAAGTAAGACACATCATTTTATTTTATTGAGCGGATATGTGCCATGTAATTCTTACCAGTCTTCTCATTGGTTTAATAAGAGCCCTGTCCTAACTTCTTTAGGAAAAAAGGCTAATATTCCTCACAAGCGTTCTGAAAGTATATTGTGTTCATTAATTATTTAAAGTATAATAAAATATTAAAGCGTAGGGAATTGTCGACCCCATCACCCGCTGACGGAACAGTTAAGTGACAAAACTGCCACGTCAGCGCAGTCAGTCAACGCCTTGCCAAGAGTGTGAGCACCGTGCCTCGGCAGTATTTATGGTGCTAAGGCCCGTTTGTGCTTATGGCCGCACATGATACGGTGCCGGGCCTGAGCGTGTCCCGTTAATTGACGCCCAAAAGTATGAATGATGGACAAAAAGGTGGTGCGCAAAGGGCCGCTGCCTGGAGGTCGCCAGGGCGTGTCTGGAGCTGGCGCCGGACGCGACAGCATGCGGGCCGCCAGCCGAGTACAGGGCGTTGCAAGACCACCTAGCAGCCCATCGCATCCATCATCCCCATCAGAAGGCTTGGTGTCTGCTGGGTTTTCGCGGACTCAGCAAGCGGCAACTGCCGCTGGTGGAGCACGTCGCATGCGTTGGTTACAAACAATGAACGCAAACGCATTGCGGGCGTAGTTTAGGGCAAAAGGGAAGAAACTGTACGGTTAGCTTATCGGGCTCGGATGCATCGCTTTTTTGCAGAGCTAGAACCATCTCTAACCGTCACTGAGCAAAACCTGGCAGACCGAGTTCGGTACATCCTGGGCTCCAACATGTGACGACGAACTCGAACGACTACGTGGGGCTATTCCCTCATCGAATGAAAAAACTACGGCTGGTAATGCGATGCCACTAATTGGACAGCAACCTGCAAACGTGGATTCCGTCGTGGATATTCCAGTTGTGGTTGATTCAGACGATGATGGAATAGTCTCCCATAAACTAGAGAAAATGGAGAGCATAAGAGGCTTGCCAGTAAGCCTCGAAAATCAACCGCGACTTCGCCACATACCCCTAAGCAAGCAAAATCGGGATGTTATGCGGGCTCTTAACCCAATGCTGGTGACCTATTTAGAAGATAGTCGGGACCTTTGCGGGACGGACTTAGTTCTTTTTGGCGCTGCACTGGCAGTTTGCCGTATTATTGGCGCCAAACTTCCCGCGGCTGGACGCGCTACTAAGCAAAGTAGCGTCATTCCAGCCTGGAGAAAAAGAATTGAGGACCGTATCGCAAAGGCAGGGGCCCTCATCGGTAGACTGACAAGCTTCAGGTCAGTTAATAATAGGCCGAGAGTTGTGCGCACCGTGAGAATTGCGTTTGCTGGGACAAATATCGGTTTGTCCCAGCCGGATATCACACAGAAACTAACGGAGCGCATAGATGACCTGAAGAAGAGAATCGCTGCTTGGGGGAAGCGACTTCGGCGATATACCGAGAGGTTGAGGCGGTACAACCAGAATCTTCTCTTCCAGAGTGATCAGAAGAGCCTCTATAAATCATTGGAGCGATCAAAGGTGCAGCTTCGGAAGGGAGGGACAAAAGTGACCCACTTTTTCTATAAGGATGATCTCAAGTTGTTCGCCTCCGGTCGCTCCCATCTTATGGAGTTGCTGGACATCACTTGTGAATTCAGCAAGTCCATCAGCGTGGAGTTGGGGATGGATAACTGTACGGTCATCCATGTTGAAAGGGGAAGGGTTACTAACTCTGAGGACATCTAGACTTATCTATACCCATTAACTTAAAGACCCTTTCCGAGGTTGAAACATACCGATACTTGGGTATGTCACAGAACATCGGTATTGATGAGCCGGGTATGAAAAAGTCAGTTTGCGACGTGTTTTATGCACGCTTGACCAAAGTGCTTAACAGCCTTTTGTCCGGTGTGGATAAGACACGTGCATATAACGGTTGGGTCATGCCTGTCCTCATGTATACCTTTCGCATACTCACGTGGACTGAGCTTGACACCCTGGATAGAAAAGTTCGCACTACCATGACGTCCCATAGAATGCATCATCCGAGATCATTGGTAATAAGGCTATACTTGCCGCAAAATAATGGTGGACGTGGCTTTTTAAGCGCGCTCACCATGCATAATTGCGAAGTGTGTAGCTTCCGTAATTACATCCTGGCGAGATCGGATGATCCATTCTATAGTGACGTCATTTCTTGTGATAAAGGGCTTGACCCCTCTATCGTTAGATAAAGACCACTGGCAGGACCCGGCAGTATATAGCATTTCCGACCGGTAGACCGTATGGAATAAGAAGGAGCTCCACGAGAGGTACTACAGGGCTTTACATGAGCCTTTCGTAGATACAGTCGCCTCCCTCAACTGGCTACGTTTCGGTGACCTCTTTGGGGAAACCGAGGGTTTTATCTGTGCAATATAGGATCAGGTTATTACCCACAACATTAAGATATTAAGACCAACAACTATCGGAGATACATCCTAAAGGATGGCACCGTCGACGTCTGTCGAGCTTATTGTCATCCCGATGAGTCACTTAGGCATGTCATCTCCGGTTGTTCGGCGCTTTCTAACTCTGAGTACTTGCACAGGCACAACCTAGCCAGGATTCTACACCAGGAGCTCGCTGTGAAATACGGTCTCGTGGATCGGAAACTGCCTTATTATAAGTACTCGCCGGAAATCGTGTTCGAAAATGACCGCGCCAGGCTGTACTGGAACCGGGCCGTCATCACAGACAGGACTATTCTTGCGAGTAAGCCTGATATTGTCCTGATGGACTGGGCCCAGTCAAGGATATTTTTGGTTGATATTACCATTCCATATGACGAGAACCTAGTGAAAGCTGAATCAGAAAAGAAAACTAAATATCTGGACCTGGCTCACGAGGTGACTGACATGTTGGGTGGGGTGCCGACCGAAATTATTTCTGTAGTCGTCTCTGCGAATGGGCTAATCCCGGTTAGTCTCCCGGGTCGTCTGAGGCGACTGGGACTCCGTGACGGACCGCTTCAGGCTCAAATGAAGAAGACGGTGCTCCTCAATACCACCCGCATCGTCCGCCGGCTTCTTTTCCTTTCCCCCCTAACCCTCGGCCGTTCGGTCTCCCCTGACGAGGGCTTCCATCTGGTTGGAACCTTTTCCAAAGACAAGCTCTATTGCTAATTGCATAGATACAAGAGATTTTACATTGACTCTTACAATGAGTTTTAGTAGGAGTTCCTGCTAAATTTTCGACAAAATAATATATTATTATTCAATCACTACTAACACATACTCTTACGATGTTTTAACTAGAATACTTTTATTACAGTTTATTCGATCTTTGGGTGTGCTTGAGGATATAGACGATGCTGATTTCATTCAAAAAATCTGTGCAGCAATCGATGTAAACAGTTTCGAAGTAAGAGGACCACCTGTACCGGCCATAGGTTGCTCTGAGCTCCTGCGTGGGGTGTATTTAAAGGCAGCCTTGATGGCCCATGACTGTCTGAGCAATACTCACGTGGCTATAAACGACAAGAACATTTTAGTATGTCACGCGAGTACTGAGATTAGGAAAGGGGAGACAATATACTACAATTATACAGATCCGTTAAAGGTAGGTATAAATTTTATCCGTGTTATCGATCAGCATACATATTGGTATAAAATAATAAAATCATTGGAAGAATACCGGGTATCCCAAGATGCTGACTATGCCAAAATAAATTTGGAAAATTTAAAAACATTACAGAGGTGATTATCGAAAGAAACCAGCTTCACATGGTTCTAAAGATAGTGAAAAAAATATTAGGTCGTTTTGTTAAGTAGTTCTGGAGTATCCACACACACATCTGTCATCATCTGTCTGTGGTTCTGGAGAATCACAGACTAAACGACATCCACAATATAGTTTTTTTTTTATTTTCTTTTAATAATAATACGTGTTGTTAATTTAAAAAAAAACCATCAGGCTAGTTCATTAGCGTTTCCTCTTTCTAATCATTTGCTTTCCATAACCTATTAGTGCTATATAAAATAATAAACACGACTTAATGTTAGTAATAAGTAATTTAAAAAATTCGCCAGCAGAGTGCAATCTCTCCGTTTTGCGTTCGTGGTGTGCAATAATGCACGTTGAAATGCGTAAAGTGGCGTTGGGAATAAGTTACGAATATGTCGCAATTTTTTTTGTGCAATCTTTAAGTTGGTTTTGTTTATGCTTGTAGTTGCCAAGCTTGGCAACTATTAGATATATATTTAATGATTTAACTACGCATAAGACAAAATACTTCGATGATTTTTTGGATACGTAGACACAGAATAAATATGTAATACTACCTCAAAATACAAAAATAAATTACGTATTAACGTAACTTAATGCTCTTTGAAGTTAGTCATCTTAAATTTATCCTCGTTTTATTTAGCAAACTAACTAGTTAACTTTAGTAGCAAGGGAGCATCAACAATAATTTGTTAATCTACTCCTTTAAAATAAACACTATAAAACCTGAGATGCAGTGCAAGCGCATATTTAAGTAAGCGTGAGGCCCGTAGCAGATTGTATCGAGGGGCCCTAGATCTGCTATAGGTTTAGTATAAAGTGGTAAACTCAATTCAATACTCAATAAGCTTATTTTCGATCTATAGGTTACAATTTTGTTGGTGTTTAATAGTACAGTGGTTTATTATAGGCCCTATTAGACTCTGGCAAGTACAAAAGACGTGAGATTCTCCTAGTAATTTAAAATGATTTGGATAAGAAATTGACGATTTAAAACTGACGATACTAACAAATAATTGTAAATGTTATTTAGTACAAATTCCAAGAGCTGTGGTAGCTCAAATGGTTAACGCTTGCTGTAAATATAACAGAACGCGAGTAACCCGGGTTCGATCCCCGCCGGCACCAATGAAATTTTTAATTGCAATTTTAAATGCTGATTTACCACGTGCTTAGCGGTGAAGGAAAACATCGTGAGGAAACCTGCATGTCTGAGGAATAAGAAAAAAAATATTTCGAAGACATGTGAAGTTCGCCAACACGCATTGGGGCAGCGCGGCGGACACTTCCTTGCCCTAAAACCCTCTCAGAAATGAGGGGAGGCCTGTGCCCAGCAGTGGGACGTATATAGGCTGTAACTTTAACTTTAACTTGCTAACAAATTCCAAAGTTTTTATTTATAGCAAAGTATATAATATTTTCATTAATAGCTAATGCTATATTTTATTAATGGAGTACTTAAGTTATGGATATATGTTATATTTATTTATCTGTTTCTTTTATTACTTTTTAAACGTCTACGAAGTAAATTTTCTAGATTTCATGTGGTCAAATTTAGAAATAATAATATCCATCAACTTCTCTAAGAAATAATAATCAGGGAAATAATTCAGGCGTTCTTGACTATGGTGTTCCTAAAATTAATTTTTATACAGTTCAGTGTCGAAAATGAACGTTATTCACTACAGTTATTGATCAAGAGACATGAGATGCTGCATGCGCTAAGCAGTTTCAAAATAGAGGATGTTTGTAGTTCGATTTGTCAATCCGTTTTGAGCAACTACACTAATTCGAGGTCTTTGTTGTATTCCAAACCATTTGCAGCACTGACCATAAATAGAGATTTTTTTTCAAAATCTCTTCGGCTGTAATATATTTACACGATAATGTGGTTCAAAAATTTTTTCGTTTGTGTTCCTGTTGTGCAGTGCAAGGCACGTCTCAACGCGTACTACGCGCTGGCGATTATTGAGTTCGCGGGGCACCCATTTGTCAAGCTTTTTTACCTTGCCAATTTAACACAAATGGACCAACATTGTTTTGATCGACCGTTGATTGAGTATCTATCACATTTTGTTAAAATGTTCCAAAAACACCAGTTAGATTTTGGTATGCTTTCCTGCGTTTATCTAAAGTAGATAGCAAGTTATCAATAATGACAACAAACACTTCAGTTTTTTTTATATACAAGAGGGGGCAAACGAGCATACGGTTCACCTGATGTTAAGTGACTACCGCCGCCCATGAACATCCGCAACACCAGGGGAATTGCAGGTGCGTTGCCAGTCCTTTAGAAAGGAGTAAGCTCTTTTCTTACAAGGTCCCCAAGTCGTATCGGTCCGGAAAAATCGCCGGTGGTAAATTATTCCACAGAGATGTCGTGCGCGGAAGAAAACTTCTAGTGAAACGTACAGTGGTGGACCGCCAATCATCCAGATGGTGTGGATGGTATCGGGAGTTTGCTGCGTAGATCGTTCATGAAATTTGACTTTGGCTGGGATTAATCCGAACAATTCCTAAGAGCACTCCCCGTGATAGATGCGATAAAATACGCAAAGAGATGCAACATCTCTTCGCAGCGCCAGTGAATCGAACCGGTCAGAAAGCACTCGGTTGTCGACGATTCGTGCCGCTCTGCGCTGGATGCCATTATTTACCAGGTGTTGAAACAGAATTTCAATAAATCTGTCAAGTGTACTAGAACTGCTAAAATGGTCGTACTTTATGTTTCATTTGCATCGTCTTGAACTTTGTTGCTGATATTCATGACAGCCTGTCAGATCTCTGGCTATTGCTTCAATAACTGAAAATGTTTATCGCATTGTTTGGAAATATCCATATAATGATTCTTAAAGGGTGTACCCGTAGTAAGGTCTATATTAGACGATTGCAGTGACGCACTACTCGTTTACACACGGTCTAGGGTTTGGGGAAAAAGGAGGTGATAACGATAGGCCTATAGTTAGACGGATCCGGGTGCGTCGCCTTTTTCCGGATTTCGGATTCTGGATGACAGGTCAGCAGAAGGTCGAACGGGGAAGGTGTGATTTTCGATCAGTAGTATGAGAACCGAGCCATTCGGCGTATTAGGCGATGAAACTTGTGCGTTTAACAGTATGAAAAAAAAACTGTATGAATTTCTGTGTTTCGTTTTCCCCAACGAAATAATCGGTTACCGATTGTCATTTGCAACGTTTCACGTTTATGTGATATCAACTAAATTGAATATACTTTCTTAATAAGTTTTACCTAAAAAAGTACGCTTAGGCTATGATGGGATGTGCTATTGCGCGGGGCCCGTAGCAATTGCTACTCTTGCTACGTGGTTAATCCGCCACTGCTGAAATGGATTATAATAATAATTGTATACAAAATGCAAACAAAATACAGTTTGACTTTATGAGAATTTATTATAATATACTGGATTTTTTTTCATAGTATGGAAAAAAATTGGGTAACAAGTGATCGGAGTAGAAGTCCATGGCACTGATATGTTACAATTTTTTTTTCATTAACATATGAAATTAATCTGCCAATAAATACTAATTATTTGAAATAAACTTTCCGTACTAAAAATAAAAACAAATATTTTGAATTAAATAAATAAATCAATTAAAATCTATCGAACTCCAAATCATACACACCCTACTTTACGAGCCGCAATAAAACAATAAATTTATTAGGCCTCTTTGTCCATGCCTTTGGCAAGGTCACCCTTACAAGCTTAAGAGCAAAGCCTTCCAGCGACCTGTGATTAGCTGCGGCGTGACGTCACGTTGCCGTCATATTGTTTGATTCCGCATGTGTATCGTAAACACGTACTAATATAATGTCGAGTATCTAACAATGGCGAGATTTTATGTCTTGTCTGTTGAAAACTTAGGCGGTGCAACGAATCGATATTTATCCGTGTTGGAATTTACAACATGCACAATGAGCACTGGTGGAGTTTCCAAAACGCACACATAATCAAAGAACAAGTTCATCAAGTTTGTTTCAGTGTTAACGTTTGGGCGCAATCATTAACAACCACATCATTGGTCCAATATGGATTACAGGTCGATTGACGGGAGTAACACATCTGCAAATGATACGTTCTGTCATCGACACAATGTTGGAAAACGTTTCTCTAAGCCAACGATCTGTGCGCGCATATCTGGATACCCAATTCAGTGGATAGGTCACGGTTGACTTGTGGACTGGCCGGCGAGGCCCCTGACTAGGCTTTTATTTGTGGGCCGCACAAAATGATTAGTGTACACGGAAGAAGCACAAAATGTTAGAACAAAAAAAAAAGAGAAAAAAAAAAAAAAATGCAATAATTAAAGATACCTTTTTAGTTTACTGGGTACCTAAATATTTAGATATACCTATAAATAATAATATTACCCTTAGGAGCAGTAAAGAATGAAGATTCGATATTCCTATTGTTATTTAAGGACCCTTATGCTATGCAGTACCTTTTGGCTTTTTGAGATGCCATATTTTAAAAAAAACTCAAAAATAAATAATGTAATAACGTCCTCCAGACCGAATTTCGGTCACGGCGGCTAAACTTAACGGAAACTAGCCATCGGCGTAGGACAGGATTATAGCGCCCAAGTGTATGCGCAGGCACGGGTGCACTCTATTCCCTCACTCTCATAGTCCGATAGGACGGTAAACTGACACCACCGGAGAGAGATCAGGCGCAGGACCAACGGTTGTACGTGCTTTCCGAGGCACGGAAGTGAGACACCACCAACTTCCTGACTCCGGGCAGTTACTGAGAATTTCTTGACGGAAAAACTCAATAAATTGATCTTTTTTGTCCCGGCCCGGGATTCGAACCCACGTCATGATCGGCTGTCACACTAACGACCACTAGACCAACGATGCCTAAATACTTGCCTAAAACCGCATGAAAACACAATGTAACTTACAATAATCTGTGCAAATTTAGGGATTAATATGTGCAAGTAATACATATTATATTAAATTAGATTACTTAGTGCGATGGCCAAGTCAATCTATATATCTAAAACATAAAAGATTTTTAACATTGATATGGTCACTATAAAATGTTGTTAGGTTAACTAATTACGTAATAACTTAACAGAAGGATCGTTAATTGGGAACTAAATAAATTAACCGACTTGGTATTACATGGATCTCACAACTTTTTAAGGTATAAGAACTGAGTTGCGAGACATGGTTTTTTTTATAGTTATAGTTATGGCACTCGTTTGCTTTTTTAGATAAGATAACCAAAATTAGTTTTCCTTTCCGGTACCTTCTACTATACCTACCTACACCTATTTATATATATATATACAAGTATTTTTTTTTATTCATTCCTGCAAAGTCTGTAACTCTTTTGAAATAGTATATATTTATATAGGATTACAAACGTTACTTTATCGTTGGCATTTTCTAGAAAACTGGACCGAAATTAAAAAATATTTTCGTTTTTCCTTGATTTATACACTAAACACTAATTGTATTCTAAATTCGAATCTTCTATATCTGCTAGAAGTGTCTTAGAGTTTTGATGATCGGTCAGTCAGTGAGTGACAAAATTAAGAAACTTTGACTAGCTATAATTCTTAAACTACTGGCTCAAATTGAGTGAAATTTGAAATATACCATGTTTATATAATTCGTACTTGGTTACTGAAAAATATGGCTTCTAGTTATATTCCCTACGAAGTTATAGGGGGTCGAAAATGGCCTAAATTGCTTCGAGAAAAGTATGGTACCTACGGCCGTGCCGCTTTTTTGCTCTACTTGGCGGGGGCACTGCCGTACCCCCAGATAAGAGAAAAATATTTTTTTTAACGTAAGGAGCGCGTCAACTAATTCTAAAAATGTTGGCTGCAACGATGTGTCGGCTGCTTCTACTCCGCCGTCTGGCGCCTACATAACGAAAGAAACGTGCATGCGTCTCGTTCGCTTTTACAACTTTCATTGTATGCGATCGTAGTCAACGCCGCGCCGCGCCGTTTAAAAGAATGTGATCTGTTTTTAGTTTAACGCAAACGCCGTAGGATAAATTGTTTTTATGTATTTTTTTTTGGATATTCGGAAATTTTGCCTACCTAGTTATATTTTGTTGTATTTTGCAAACACTTTCGATGATAGCTTCTATTCCACTTATACACAACACCATATTATTTTCCAGATGGTAAAAATGGTCACCCAGTTGAAAATTATTAATACCTAATAATTTTCAGGGCACAAAGCTACGGCAACAACATCTAGAAGTCGGTAAATATTTTAGATGCGCATGCAAAAGATGCCAAGATGTATCAGAAATTGGCACATACATGAGTTCAGCTCTTTGTCCTGGATGCAAAACAGGATACATCTCCCCGAGTTGCGAGATGTGGACATGTCACAGCTGTAATTCTAAATATGAACGGTCCGAGATTGAACATAAGATTCAATGTTGTTCGGAAAAACTAGCAATTATAAGTAAGGTTATATTTTTCATGTCAAGCTTATTTCAAGTTTCCACAGAGGCAAGTTGTAGCACGAATGGGTCGGCTCGACCGGGGAAGAACCACGCTCTCACAGAATACCAGCGTGAAATAGTAGCTTAACGTTGTTGTTTCGTATGGTGAGTGAAAAGAACCGATGACCCTTTTTACTGGAAACGAGGCATTTCATCTTAGTCTTAGTCCTCATGGGTGACAACGCATCTGCATTTTGTTTCGTAATCGAGGATACATGTAGATGTCTATGGCCACAGCAACCACTTACCATCAGGTGGACTATGTGATTGTATGTCACCCTTATTCTATAAAAAATAATTAAGAATCTTGAAAATATGATATCCTCTTGGTCGTTAGAGACAACCACGACATATTTCGAATATTCAAATAAATCTGCGCTAAGCGCTAAATACTAACGTTAGGGGCACAACCTTGTCCTTTTTCCTTCTCATAGAGCATCATTCATCATCATCACAGCCTATCTAAGTCACATGCTGAACATAGACCTCCCTATAGATTACCTCAGGGGATATTTGGCCTATTTGCCGCGCTTGGCAGATGGTTTTAACCACAGCCTTTATCATTTTGAGTTGTTGTCCAGCCCTAAAAGGAAAGATGAAACAGGGGGGTTCATCTTACTCTCTATCGCCTCTTACAACATCAGCCATCAGCGCATACGAGATCTCAGGGCAGCATTTACTACCCCCAGCACTTTTGCAGTGCTGTCAAATTTCGAGACCACTTATGAGGTGTTGTTCTCCGTCCGGGGGCTAGTATCAGGTTCTTGGCTAATACCACTGCCTAATATAATTTTTTTTTATAATTTAAAATATCAGAACAAAGCTGTGTTACAGTGTCTCTGATGCAGGGATAATTACAGCACAATCAGATCAAAAAGCCATCAATTAGATTTATTTCTGCAACGCCGAATTCCGCGGGATTCAAACCTAGAATCGTCCGTCATGTAACAGCTAGATCACTTTTTATTTAAATGAGAGCGCCATCTCCTAAGCTGTCATGGCCTCACGGCCTTAGAGAACACTTTACATTCTGCGAAGTAATAATATAGAATTGTTCTTAATGCGATAATTAACAGATAAAAAAGATGAAAAGGAACTAGAAGAGTACGTTAAAAATGTATCGCTTGTACTGGCTCCAAACCATTACTTGCTGCTAGAGGCTAAACAACGCCTGGCGGGTGTATTAAGAGATGCCATCAACCGAGAACCTCGTCCAACCAAGAAGATGATGCGTCGTAAAATAGAATTGTGCAAAGAGTTGCTGCCAGTACTTGAGAAAATAAGTCCAGGAATATGCAGGATTAAAGGTAAGAAAAATTACCCACTGTACTAGGAAGAGCAACAGCTTACACGGCCGAAGTGAGTTAGCAGATTTATTGCTTGCTCACGTTTTAGTCGCGGACGGTAAAGAAATCGGCGCAACGTAACACCCCTCTGTTTTCCAACGACTCACTTTTGATTTGGAGTAAAGGATCAAGCCCTCCCACAAACTGATAAATTCTAAAAACTCAAATTTGAAGTAGGCTTGTTAAGCCTGCTCAAACTAGCCAACACGAGTTGACCTTTTAGGTGACCAAGCCATGACTATTAAGCCATCTTGGACTGATTTGTGCCGGTTTTAGTGCATAAAAATTCTACAAATAGAACAAACTATTATAATTTTTGGATCTTGAAGAAGTAATTCATGCTCAGTCAGCTGCAATCACTATGCAAGAGCTCGCTTCGAAAGAACCAGAAAATATGTTATAAAATCATTAAAGATCATTTTTATATTTTATTTTTATTTGAAAGCGAGAAAAGTGGCCTATAGACTTAATTTTTTCCCATTTTGTTACTCAAATTGTATTCGTAACTTTTTTGGATCTATCAGAATGTTCTTCTTGAAACAATAAACTCAAATTTTACAAATTGTCAGCCGGGAGGAACCTAACGAAAGCTAAGTCAGCTCCAAGAGTAATAATAATAATGTCCTCCAGACCAAATTTCGGCCACGGCGGCCTGCCTCAACGGAGGCTAGCCATCGGCGCAGGACAGGATTATAGTGTCCAAGTGTATGCGCAAGCACAGGTGCACTCTGTATTACCTCACTCTCAAAATCCGATGGGACGGTAAACCGACACAACCGGAGAAAGATCAGGCGCAGGACCAACGGCTTTACGTGCTTTCCGAGGCACGGGGGTGAGACACCGCCAACTTCCTGACTCTGGGCAACTACCGAGAATTTCTTGACGGAAAAACCCAATAATTAATTTTTTGTTCCGACCCGGGATTCAAACCCAGGACCTCATGATCAGTAGTCGCACTACTGCAATCACTAGACCAACGAGGCAGCCAAAACATCCAAGAGTAATAATTACCTGTTGGCGCATTCTGGAAAATGCTTAGTATTTGAAAAGAAAATTGGAAAAAGAAAAACACGCAACACGTTTTTTCAACATATTGTGACGGCCCAATATTATTATTATTAATTAAATTCAATATAAAGGGGCGTCAAAAATAGTCTTAAAAGATACATATTAAACAATAAAATTACATTAATAACCATAAAGTTAATATAAATACATTTCAGACATTAGACCAATAACATAGTAAATTAAAGGCAAAATATTGTCTTCCATAATAAATAAATTTATTAAAAACTTGAAAAAGTATTTAAAATAAAATAAATAATAGAAATACAAGTCGAAAATATTATAAAAATAAAGATAAATAACATTTATAAGATAATTAGAAAATATGTTAAAAATTGTCTGTCTTGAAAGGAGTAAATGTATAAAAGAAAATTTTCCTAAGTTATGGAAGGTGTTCATGTACAGATATCTTGTATGGAGGAGCTGTCGGAGATACATACCTGCAGTTGTACATATATATGGGGTGGTCGGGAGCCCAACTGCCTGAAGTACTGTATCACAATGACTAATCCTATATTAGGGACTTATGATTATAAACTCAATGATACAAAAGCAATACTACAGAAGGTCTCTATGATGAATATGCATTACAATAGTAGGGTCGTGGGTTCGAACCCTATATATTAATGACTTATGAAAGTAAGGTATATGATACAAAAGCAATACTATAGAAGGTCTCTATGATGAATATGCATTACAATAGTAGGGTCGTGGGTTCGAACCCTATATACTAATGTCTTATGAAAGTAAGGTCTATGATACAAAAGCAATACTATAGAAGGTATCTATGATAAATATGCATTACAATAGTAGGGTTGTGGGTTCGAACCCTATATATGAATGACTTATGAAAGTAAGGTCTATGATACAAAAGCATTACTATTGAAGGTCTCCTTGATGCATAAGCAATGTATGAGGTGGTCGGGTGACCGACTGCTCCTAGTACTGTAGCAAAATGACTAGTCCTTATTAGGGACTTCAAAAGGAATATTATGGTGGCGTGTGTGCTGCTTCACGAGCAATTGGTCCGAGGTAAACTTGGACTCGCTAACCGATGTGTCCTATACATATCATCTTAGTGCTGGTGGTAAGCGGGTTTGTTGTAGCAATACGGCTTTCCCGTGGACATCGCACACCCATACCGTTTGTGGGCGACGTCGTAGCGCATAGCGATGCGTCGTCTATCTTTCGGATTGGGATGATGAGTGTGTTTGGTAGCACTTTTAACTGTAACAGGCATACTCAACTTCATGTCTTAGTGCATTAGCGCTATGATACGTGGAGTTTTGTTCATTGGCGTCTTAGTAGCGTGCTACTATGATACGTTGGTGATATTTTTTATATAACGACAATAAAAACTTTGTTACCAATATCGATAGGGGTCATGTGGGTGTGTTGTGAGGGGGGCGCCATCCGTATGATAGTTGCATTGATGCTTACTGCTACTTGCGATATTGCGTCTTGTGATGGATCTGCGGGTGAGCTGCGCCTGATTCGACGCATTCTTGTGGTTCTGGTCGATAGAGGTAAACAAATAACATCTTAGTGCCGGTGGTAAGCGGGTTTGTTGTAGCAATACGGCTTTCCCGTGGACATCGCACACCCATAACGTTTGTGGGCGACGTCGTAGCGCATAGCGATGCGTCGTCTATATTTCGGATTGGGATGATGAGTGTGTTTGGTAGCACTTTTAAGTGTAGCAGGCATACTCAACTTCATGTCTTAGTGCATTAGCGCTATGATACGTGGAGTTTTGTTCATTGGCGTCTTAGTAGCGTGCTACTATGATACGTTGGTGATATTTTTTATATAACGACAATAAAAACTTTGTTACCAATATCGATAGGGGTCATGTGGGTGTGTTGTGAGGGGGCGCCATCCGTATGATAGTTGCATTGATGCTTACTGCTACTTGCGGTATTGCGTCTTGTGATGGATCTGCGGGTGAGCTGCGCCTGATTCGACGCATTCTTGTGGTTCTGGTCGATAGAGGTAAACAAATAACATCTTAGTGCCGGTGGTAAGCGGGTTTGTTGTAGCAATACGGCTTTCCCGTGGACATCGCACACCCATACCGTTTGTGGGCGACGTCGTAGCGCATAGAGATGCGTCGTCTATCTTTCGGATTGGGATGATGAGTGTGTTTGGTAGCACTTTTCAAGGGTCCTAAATAAGACCATCACGCCAAAATATTACAAACGGCCTATTATTAAACCTTTAGAAAGATCATTTAGAAAGATCAAAACGTATTTTATTAATCCTGGTCACATATTTATAATTTTTATCGAAAAGGGGTAAATTAATTATATCTAATATAATTATTACTAGGTGAGAGGGGGGAAGCGTTACAATATCTTAATGTTGTATATTATTATTATATATATTAGCGGCTAAACTAGATTTCAGGCAAAACTAGTTTTTCCTATGCCAATCCGGTTTATCCAACGCGTGTCAGGACACACTAGTGTAGCTCAGGGAAATCTTGTTTGACCTAAATACTTTGCTTTAACTAGTTTGGCCTTGGCAAAATTGAGTGGATCATTTCATAATATAATCTAACCTAACGTAACCTAATATTGACCTAAATTTATTTCTGCAACAGCTTCGGCGCTGCAGAAAGTGCAGCCTCTTCGCCTTTGCGTATTAAATGGCAGGCACTCAGGCTCACCTCCGCAGCTTTCGCTTATTGGTCGCCTTCGGTGTCCAGCCTCAGCCGCGACAGCTCGCACAGGTGCCTGTGATTTGCTACGGCAGGCAGGGGCTACACTTCTTCCGCGCCTACGGCTTTACAAAAAGCATTCTAGGGGTAGGGCAGACAAGACTACGTAGAGTCGGGGCATGTTCATTCGGTTTTAGCGTAGATTCGACCGATCTTATCAAAAAACAGTGAAAAGGTCAACCCTGACAAGCCCCCTAAACTAAAAACTAAATTAAAACCAAGTACTGGACGTCTATAGCCAACCCAAAATTGTAAGATCCCTTAAACAATTTAAGAATCAGTAAAAATTTAAGACAAACTAAAACAATTAAGACCAATTACTAAAATACACCACACGTTGAGAATACGAAGGTTTAACAATAATTATTTTCATTTACTCAGTTCTTCCTAGGCCAAAATAATTATGCCTAAAGTATTTAGGCCAAACTGGATTGTCTTGGGCTAAACTAGTATGTCTGACACGCGTTAAATAAACCGATTTGGCCTAGGACAAACTAGTTTGGCCTGAAATCGGGATTGGCCGGTAACATAAATATAATTGTTCATATATTATCAAACCAATGGTTTTAAAAATAAGAAATATTTTCTAAATTATTTGCTTTGTTTATTTAATTAATAAATTTACATTATTTTTTTCTTCTGTTTTTAGCTATAACACTATACGAGCTTCATTGTACGATGGTACAATTGGCTAAAAAGCTCTTTGATGGTCGTGAAATAAACGGATCTGCTTATTTGGTATGTATGTTGAATCAACTATCGTTTTTTTTTTACAAATTAAAAAGAAACTAATATTCCAGCTTTATTAATTTATTCAATAGTATTTGGTATATTCCAATTATTCTAATGGAATTCCCCGTAAATTAAAACTCTTATTCACATAACTGATAAGTCAATTCATAATGTCTAGCGTCGCGCACCTCAGTACATCAGTGCTACGCTGATACACTTGTTAATCGTCACAGATACTATAATACTAAAATACGTTTTATTATCCGGTATATCCGGTATCTTAAAGCCTACCACTTGATGGAGAGAACACTTCATGATGATTACTTCAAAAATTATAATTTTGCTTCTTGTTGGTTTTTTCGGGACAAGATTTTTCATTCCCATAGTCGAATCCTACATTACCTATACGGTACGATTGGAGTCAAAGGACTGTCACAACTACACTGTGAGCACCTACGGCGATGATTTTCTTAACGTTCAGTATTGATGTTGCAGGATGAATTACAAAATGCGGAGAAACATTTAAAGAAATCAATCGAAATGTTATTGATTGAACCTGGGAACTCACCTGAAGGAGAATTATGTTCAAAAGCGCTTGAAGAATATCGAGCGTTGAAAGCTGCTATTACTGGGGTTTTGCTAGGAATGCAATCTGAAGAAAAAACTTACGCTAGCCAAACAGACAAGATTTCTCCAACTTCTAATGTAAATTGAAAATAGTGTTTGATCACATAAATAATAAAACGAATTATAACTGATTTGACGAATACGAATTTCGAATATACTGTAATTTTTTTTGGGTGTATATATATTTTTACGCTTTATCAATTAGTTTGTTTTGTAATTCTCTGTTTAAAAATAATTATTGCTGTCTGATAGTCTCGCTAAACCTCGTTTTGATGTAATTTTTTGTGTTTTTAAATAGGTTCCTAGATGGCTGAGATCTAGGTTTGCGCTGTTGTGTCCAGAAATTACACATCATGCTACGAGTATTATAGTACATTAATAATAACAATAGCCATATAATTTATAGATAGTGGTTATATAGCCACGATAGCTAAGGTAGCCAAGATAGCCACGCGGCAGCTTTTGCTGTTGTATGCATGAGCCGACCTCACAGAATACCTGCGTGAAGTGGAATCTCTGCCTCCGCGTTCTAATAAATGCAATTTTCTCATAATCTGTTAAAAGTACTAATTATATTTTTGTGTATTTTATCATTGCATCCCAACTTAAACCGGGAACTGTGTAATAATGGACAGGGTCTAAACCATAAGTATTAATACATAGCTTTCTAAAGTTATAAAAGTTACAAATACGTCGTATAAAAGTAAAACGTCTGTTTTTAAATACAAGTTTTAATAATCTAGCATATTACAACACCCAAAGAGCTTTAGCATAATTGTAATCATCATTTGAAATATGGGAATCTGTGAGCGACCTATAATTTTTTTTTGTTCAGGGAGCAACGGTAGGTTTAAACTATCATAATTATAGTTCGGCCGTTCAGAGAATGCGTTCCTAACACGTCGCGATTGAACTGACGACGTAACTTTGTAATGGCGTTGCAGTTACGGTAAAAATATTTTTGCTGGTTGTTTACCGTTTCAACAATTGATGAGCATTAAAACAAAATTATTATATAAATAATCAATGAATGTTATAATTTTGTGCCAAACTGAGAGTCGAATAACTTGGTAAACAATATTTTTCTAAATCTATACTGCGCTATTACAAGGTTATGTCAGCGCTTTATATTTGTAGTGCTGTGCTAACAATAACAGGCAATAACAGTATCGTAATCTGTTCTTATACAGTTATACTTTACAAAATAATACGTTTTGTTGACATTAAACCTATTGTTAATACAGTCCACTCATTTTATTTCTAAAGTCCCGATAAGGCCTAAACAAATATAAAAATAAAACTACGACCAAACCGAACGCGCGAAAGAAAGTAGCATTTTTATATGTATTTAGGTTGAAAATGGTAACCCCAAATGGCGTTATGGGCCGCCATTTTGTGACGCTAAAACAGTCGTCTGTTGTCGTTTCGTGCGCATAGACCTCGTTCTTCAAGTGTTTTCGATCTGTTTTTATTTGATTACCCAGCTTTCGTTTAATGGACTGTTTCTGCTTTTTCAACTGACATCGGCGCTAAATTGGACTTCGATTGTGTTTTGTGTTGCGTTCTTTTTACTTTTGTTGCATAATGATGCCTAAACGTGGACAAACATTGAAAAGTGGAGCCCGTGAGTTAATCATCAAGCTACAAGATTACTTCTAGCAGGAGCGGCAAAATGGCGGACCCCTGTTACCTGTCGAACAAGTACAAGAACGCGTCTCTCAGGCGCTTGGAGTTAGCAAACGTACGATAACAAATATTAATGAAGAAAAGTTCGGCTCTACTGGCACGGAAGATAATATTTTACGTACTCCGAAGAAGAAACTTAGAACTATACCCGTGACAGATATTGACGCCTTTGACGCCGATGCGATCAGAAATCATACATATGGTTACTATTCCAGAAATGGCATTGATTTTGGACATGGATTTTGGCATCGTTAAGAGAAGCTGGACTGTTTAGCGGGGGTAAAACTGCTTCAACCAAAATCTTAAAAGATATTGGTTTTTCGTATAAAAAAACAGACAAAAGAAAAATTTTATTAGAACGATACGTCATAATTTTAAAACGGATAAGTTTTTTGAGAGAAGCAAAAAATATTGATAACTGGGATAATGTCGTGTTCATTAACGAGACATGGCTAAACGCCAATCACACGGTTTCCCGTTCTTGGACGGATGATACACAAGCGTCGACGTCGAAAGTACCAATGGGTAAGGGGGCCCGTCTGATAATATGCCACGCAGGTTCTGCAAAATACGGCTTTGTGGAGAACGCGTTACTGGCATTTCAATCAAAAACCACAAATGACTACCACGAGGAAATGAATGCCACTACATTTAAAGAGTGGTTCCAGAACGTGCTTTTCCCCAGCCTACCAGAGCCTTCTGTAATATTCATGGATAATGCCTCCTATCACTAGGTTCAAATACAGAAACCGCCTACCCAAGCTAATAAAAAAGAAGAAATGGTGGCTTGGTTACAAGCAAAAGGTATTGACGCAAATATGCAGATGCTAAAACCAGAGCTAATTAAACTAGTTAAAGAAAATAAATCGGCAAATGTGCGATACGAAATCGATGAACTGGCTCTGGAGTACGGTCATCGCGTTCTAAGAATTCCACCGTATCATTGCCAATATAATGCGATTGAGCTAATCTGGGCTCAAATAAAAGGTTACGCCGCCCGCCACAATACTTCCCCGCCATTCAGCACGAAAAAGATGATGAACCTATTAAAAGAAGCCTGCGGGGAAGTCACAAGAGATGACTGGGCAAAGGTTGTTGAGAAGACTAAAAACCTGATTGTGGAACATTTTGACCGAGATATCAGGATTGATTCTGTTATTGATAATAATATAATTATACATTGTAGGCGAAGATGATGATGAAGACACCACCTCCTCAAGCGAATCGGAGTCTGATTAATATTCTGTACGCACATTCAATTTAATGTAATTTATTGCATAAAAATACCGATTGTAACATTGTAACAAAGAATAAATAAAACAATTTTATTATATTAATATTACCTTTTTTTGGTTTCCACTTAAATTACTAAAATATAAATTTTAAATGATTCCGCTAATTTAAAACGAAAATAATCTTAAAAATAACGCGGCGGTTCATTTTGGAGGAACGGTAACGAACTCAGTGTTATGTTGTGCCCATTACTAGTCGTGACTAACTGATATGTGTCAGGAACGCATTCTCTGAACGGCCGAACTATAGTCATAAATTCATATGGATAAACTCCTTTCCGTTTTAAACGAATGAAACATTCATCATTAGGGTAATTTCTACGTAATTCTTGAAATTGATCATTACTGAGATTTTTGGCTAATTCTTCTAATTTACATGATAAAAACTTTAATGAATCTACGAATCTCAACATAACTTAATGGTTATTCATTTATAATTTCTTTGAAAATGATATATATTTTTCTTTATTTTGAGGGATAACTCCGACTTCACCATCACAAAAGTTTAATGCATGAGCATCATAGTGACTAAGGTTGTGTAAAAATATTGGTATATGACGTGGTGTTCTCAACTTCGAGCTACATGATTCATGAGCAACACCTATAAAACTACCAGTGTACCAACCAAAATCATAAAAAAAGACGTGTGGAACTCGGGGACTGCCGCGGTAAAGCTATTGCATAGCATTTTGTATCAACTTATGCAATTATAATTATTTATTTATTTTATTTATGCAGTATTTCTTTTTCTTTGATATTAATTCAAGTTACACTTTTTGAGCGTGGTGACCGATAAGAAAACAATTTTTTTTTCTTTTATTAAATAAATAAAAATAAATGCACTTTGTTCATTCATATTCAAAACACTTTATACACAAATTTTACAAGTACAGCTATTCACTGTTGTACATAAATACCTATACACCTATATACTTTCTCATAAACAGCTGCTTATGTATTCGTCCGATTTCGGAGCAGCTCGTCTCGATTCGTGCGAGCTTCGTAGAGTCGTACAATACGTCTAGTTGCACGCACACAAACACCGTGTCGAAGACTGTCGAAAAGAAACGACGTTAGACAATGCACGGCCTTCAAGCCACACCTCCGTGCCCGTCGGAGTGGGGAGCGTGAGGTTTTTTCGTTACGGAATTTCTGGATTCGGTCCCCGCGCTCAAGGCCCGCGATAGAAGCTATGCAATAGCTTAAAAATTAATATAAAAACAAAACATATAAAAACTCCACGGACATTCTCCTTCTTTCTAACCTCCATGGTTGCTACTTAAGTGAGATATGCGAAAATATGCCGTTTTCTGGATTATCTTGATATATATAAATTACGTGTCACGTTGTTTGTCCGCGATAGGCTCCTAAACCGTACTTAACCGATTTTAATGAAATTTGCACACCGTGTGCAGTTTGGTCCAACTTGAGAGATAGGATAGTTTTTTTTGCCCATGAGTAACCTACAATTTATTTTTTTGCGAATTTAAGGATTCTTAATAGGACATGACAGGGTCGTAGAAAGGGCAGAACAACGTCTGCCTGGCAAGCTAGTCTTATATATTACCTCGATATAGTAATCTTTATTTCAAAACTATCAATACTGTTCTTTTTAAGATATTCAAAAGTAAATACTTTCCTATGACAGCCAAGAAAAAAGTGTTTAAATCGTGTATCTTGCCACGTCTCATGAAAGAAAGAAGTATGTTGGGCGTTACGCTTAAGGACCGAAAAAAAGAGCAGAAGATATCATATCTACAGTAAGGTAGTTCAAATGGCAATGGACTCATAAAAAGGGAAAACAATATAAAATGGACTCAAATCATAAGGGAATGGCACCCTAAAAGGCGAACAGATAATATCAAGATTATTGGAGGGACAATCTGGTTAAAAAAGCTAACAATAGACAAGATTTGAAAGAGCTAGAAGAGGCCTGTGTGTCACAGGACACGCTGACCACTAAAATGTGCTAGATTATAAGTTGAAAAATTAGCTACTATGTTAAAAAATATAACGCTTAGTATCAGCAATGAAGGCTTAATAATATTCACACAATGGCAAGGGAAAATAATATGTTATTACGACCTCTCAGCCTTCAATAAATAGTAG